TATATATATATATATATATATATATATATATATATATATATATATATATATATATATATATATATATATATATATATATATATATATATATATATATATATATATATATATATATATATATATATATATATATATATATATATATATATATATATATATATATATATATATATATATCTATATATATATACACACACACACACATACACACACACACATATATACATATATACATAATATATATACATATACATATACATACATACATACATACATACATACATACATACATACATACATATATATATATATATATATATATATATATATATATATATATATATATATATATATTTTTACACACACACACATATATACATATATATTATTTATGAACTTTTGTTTCATCAAACTATTTGTCATGTTTGTCAATCTGACTCTGCTTATAAATTATTCCCTCCTTTTTAAAAAATTTTCATAGTTTGACTTTTTGGTCAAACTGAGACATCTTTTGACCACGAATTAGATATAGTTTAAAGTAATTAAATATTATAAAAATTTGATATTTTAATGTATATCTAATTTTACTAAATTTATATTATGACTAAATATACTTTTTTTCCAATTCACAATCAAATGATGCAAGCCACAGTTCAACAAAAAAAATCAAACGGAGGCAATCTTTTAAGACGAGTGGAAGTATGACTTTTACGGTCTAAAATAAGTTTCAAAAGTGCTTGTAAGTAAAATTTAAATTAACTATTTTTGTCTTCTACAAAATATTTCTGCTTTTGAGCTTTTAATTCGTCCAAATACAATTTTGTAGAGTGTGCTTGAAGAGACCGTGGGATATAACCTTTACTTTTTTTTTTTTTTTTATCTATAAAGAAAGACCGCCCGAAATAATGGTCGTCGCGCATCAATTAGTAAAACAAAAAGGATGGAACCCCAAAGGCAAGAGGGAGAAGAAGAAGATCACTTCGCATACGCCACGCAGCTGGTGGGGTCGGCGGTGTTGCCGATGGTGTTGCACGCGGCGGCGGAACTTGGCGTGTTCGGGATCATCGCCGGAGCAGGCGACGGCGCTCAGCTCTCGCCGGCTCAGATCGCCTCCCAGCTGCCCACCGCCAACAAAGATGCCCCCGCCATGCTCGACCGTATGCTCCGCCTCCTTGCCTGTTACAAGGTCCGCGCTAATTAATTAATCACCACTCTTCTTCTTCTTCATCGTCATCTCCTCGTCATTTCATACATCATTTTTTTTTCCTCTTACCCAAAAGTTTTTTGTTTTTTTTATGGACTACGTACTTTTCTTTTCCTTTTTTTTCTTTTCTTTTTTTTCTCTAGGATTCTTTGAACCAAACATTTTTTATTTTGGTTCAAAATTAAAAATTAAAAATTAAAAATTTAAAAATTAAAAATTTAAAAATTAAAAATTAAAAAAAGTGTACTCCATTTGTCCCCCAGCCCTTCCGTAATCACTCAAATAGGCAAGAAAATTAAAAAAAAAAGTAATAAATATCAAATACAAATGAGTGATTATGGCAGGGTGGGGGACAAATGGAGTACACCTTTGGTGTATCCCTAGTATCTCCCATTTAAATGAGATGAAATCAAACTTTGTTGTTGGATTGGTGGATATCCTAGTACAGACTAGGGGGGGTTACTGCTCCTATTAAAAAAAGATACTCCCTCTGTCTATAAATAGATTACAATTTTTCTCTCTCTCTTCTCGATAACTTTTGTTTGTTTACGCGATTTCATTAAATATTTGATAAAATAAAATATTCATGTCACCTCTTGTTTTGTAGAAGTTTTGATGTAGTTTTTTAATATGTAATTTTTATATTTTATTGATATACCAATTTGTAAATAAAATAATTTCAAAAAGTTGAAAATTTTATTCCGTAACCCGCAATTTGTAATCAAATTGGGGACGGAGGGAGTATAAATGTATAAAAAAAGAAAAAAAAATTTACAGGTGCTGAGTTGCACGGTGGTTGAAGGCGGCGGGGCCGGCGATGTGACGCGACATTATGGGCTGGCGCCGGTGGGGAAATACTTTGTGCCCAATAAAGAAGATGGCGCCTCGGTGGGACCCCTCTTAGCTTTGCTCCAAGACAAAGTCTTCCTCAATAGCTGGTCCGTACACTTTTTTCATCATTTCTTCTGCCTCTATATACTTCCTCGTGAATCATTTACTCTTTACACAAAATAAATATTATTTAAAAATTGATATATAAATAAAAAATAAAATTTATATATTTAAAAAATACATCAGAAGTTCTACATAACAAAAGTTGACAAAAATATTTTATTTCATCAAATGCTCAATGAAAATACACAAATAAACAAAAATTTCTGTGATTTTGAATAGTGAAGTGTGTAAATCATTTAAGAACGGAAAGAGTATTTTTTTTAAATTCCACTTTTAATCTAGCTAACTTAATTTTTCTTTAAAACAAGTTTAAGAGGTTTTGAATCCTTAAACCTGGCGATTTAGGTGCATTTTTTACCCTCTGAGAGACGATGATTGAGTTATCTTAGTACTCTCATTATGATTTTGTAATTCGCACCATAGAGATTTGGAGCATGATACATGTGCCCCAAAATATGTACCATATTTGTACATTAAAGGTATGCACCAACGTTTTGATGGTTCACACTGACATAAGCGTTAACAAAAATTTACACTGACACAAAGTATTGGTGCGTTAACAAAAATTAGCATTACACCAACACAAAATATTGGTGCATCCCTGCGCTGTACAAAATGAGGTATAAATCATTGGGGTACAAATAATTTTACCCTAGAGATTTTATTAGGTGTGCCTTATTTGTTTGGATTCTCCTTTTAGACTCACTTTGATGTACTACATCGATCCGTTCATGAGTATTTGTCCAATTTTGACTTTTTTTGGTCAACTATTTTTAACATTTAACTAAAAATTAAGTTAAATATATAATGCATATTAATTAGATTAAATAATATTTTGAAAATATTTGATATAATAAATCTAATAAAACTATTTTTGTATTAATATCTAATATCATTCTTATTTAATTTGAGATTAAAGTTTATCAATTTTGAATGAAAGAAATCAAAAGTAGACAAATACTTAGGGACGGAGGGAATAACTAACATTGCTAGAGCTACTAGGAAAACCTTTCACCAAATTAACCATACCTTTCTGATGAAACTTCACGAATTCTCTCCATGCCTAAAATACCCCCAAGTGTGTCCCAAGTCCCAACTCATTGATGTGGCGAGTAAAATTTGGTACAAAAAGTCCCCAAATGGTGCTTTTTTTTTGTTTATTTACGAGACCAAAAGCAACCAAAAATAATGTTTTCTATGTCCTAAAAAAATATTCACATTTCACTATTCAAAATTTACAAAAAGAATACGGAGTATTTGTTTATTTGCATGTTTTCATGTATTATTTAATAAAAATAAAATATTCTTGTCATATCTTGTTTTGTAGAACGCTTTACTTTGGTTTAAATTGTTGAAGAATAAGTAATGTTGAATAAGTCCAATGCTGAATAAGTCTAGTATTGACTCAGTATTTTTAGTACTCCGTATTAATCAAGTTTGTTGTCCTATTCTTTAGGAAGTAGCTGTACACTTCTATGGATTTCCTTCTTTTTAGCAGATATAGTTTCTTTCATGTATGGCCTATAAATTGGCTTTCCTATGGAATAATATATCATTAAGTTCTTCTCTGATTCCTCTGTTGATTTCCTGAGTTCTCCAATTTATATTAGTTTCATATATTTCTTCTTATTAAGGTTGCTCACAACCTGTTTGATAAAAGTTCCCAAAGAAACCCAGTCTACATAAATATGTCAGTTTTAGATATTGTTTAAATGTTGCTTTGTTTTGTGCAAAGTGCAAAACCTGTTGCGATTTGGGACGGTGAGAGTACTCAATAATAAAATACGCGATGGTTCCCATGATATTGCCTGGCAATATCATGAGATGACCCGGGGCGCTCCGGTGTTCTGTCCGTAAAATTGACGGTTCCTACCCCCTCAACCCTCACACCGCCCCGACTCAAACACACCCCCACACCCACCTTTAATTGCACCCCATCACCAGGGTTATATGGTGGAGCATCGCCTTGTTGAAGACCTCATTGAACATGGGGGTGGGGGTGTGTTCGGGAGCACCCGAACACACCTTGCCCAGACTCCAAAGTTAAAATTAACTTGTAGGGTGCAATTGAAGGGGTGGGAGGGTGTGTTCAGATCGAGGCGGGATGGGGGGTTTTACCGGGAGGGTTAGGGGGTAGGAACCGTCAATTTTACGAACGGAGCACCGGATCGCCTCCGGGTCATCTCATGACATGGGGTTCTAATGTCATGAGAATCACACCGAATAAAATAAAGGATTAAATATGTATCTGGTTCTTGTAAAATGAGTAATTTTTACAAAAAAAACTTTTATTCAAAATTCAATATTTTCAGGTCGAGTCTCGGTTTAAAAACAAGTCGAATCAATTTTTGAAAGACGTAGTAGTAATTACATAGTATGTGATATGCAGGTATGAATTGAAAGGAGCAATTCTAGAAGGGGGAGTTCCCTTCAACAGGGTGTATGGAATGCACGCGTTCGAGTACCCGGGTAAGGACCCCAGGTTCAATGAGGTCTTCAACAAGGCCATGCTCAACCACACAACCCTGGTGATGGGCGGCATCCTCCGCCGCTACAACGGCTTCGAGGGCGTCGGCACCTTGGTCGACGTCGGAGGCGGACTCGGCGTCAGCCTCAGCATCATCAGTGCCAAGTATCCTCGCATCAAGGCCATCAACTTCGATTTGCCCCATGTTATTAAACACGCCCCGCCCTATCCTGGTATGGTATACTCCTCCCGTCTCATAAAATATTTTACGATTTGAGTTTCACGGAGTAAAAATATTGAAAAGTAAAAAGTATTGTATGTATTGATAAAATTTGTTTAAGGACCATGCTACATTTATACCAAAATTTGTACCTGAAACTTACACCAAAGGTATACACAACATTTTGATGGTTCGCATTGATACAAAGTGTTGGTGCGTTGACAAAAATTAGCATTAACCCAACACAAAATGTTGATGCACACCTGCGGTGTACAAAATAGGGTACAAACCCTTGGGGTACAAGTAACTTTATCCTGTCTTTAAACAAGACAGAAAGCGACATTATATATGAAATACTAAAATAAGAAAAGTTTGGTGTACTACATTTTTTGGTAGAAAGATCGATTAAAATCTGAGCAAACCGTAGAAAAAACACAAATTTAGACATATATTTTTATCTAAAAATAGGTCTTATAATGTGAATAATGTCACAATATCATACTAAAACATATGTACATGATCCTGATTGGTAATGTAAATACATTTTAACTCCTATTTCGGGAAGATAAACATGGAATTCCTATTTTAGTATATTTCTAATATTTTACTCTTACTTTAATTTTTTTAAAAAATTGGATTATGTTGTTTAAGTTTGAACTTTTGACCTTTGTCAACAAGACTCTAATATTATGTTAAAAATCTTTTCAACAAAAAACTCAAACTTTTGGCTACTCTTTAAATGAGTACAAATATAATTACTAAAATTGAAATGTTTGCACTAAATAACACTAAAACTTAAGTCATTTCACTAAATAGCACTTAAATTATTTTATTCTCTAAATAGCACTTAATAATGTTCAAAATGAGGAATAATGTCTAGTGATGGCTAGGGGTGCATACAAATCAAATAAAATGTATTCGATTCGTGATTCGTATTCGAAAAGGATGATTCGTATTCGCTATATTCGAATTCGAATCCGAATACAAATCATATTTTAGATTCGAATTATTTTCGAATTCGAATAAAAATATTAATAGATTCGATTCGTTTATTATTCGAATTATTCGAGTTTTATAATTTATAAATAAATTTATATATATTCTAACATATTAAATATTTGTGTACATATTTTAACTTATTTTAATATATTAAATTTTTTGTACATATAAATTTATATATATTCGAATGTTATAATTTATAAATAAATTTATATACTACCTCTGTCCCGCTATATTCGTCCACTTTTGACTTTTGGAACTGTTCATCTAAGCACTTTGACTCATCAAATTCTCTCAATGTGTAATCCTAAATATAGTCATGTGTGATCTTGTTTGATTTTTCTTAACATATAGATTATTAATATATAATTTCTATATTTTTTTAATATACAAATTATAAGATAAAATGGATTAGAGAAGTGCATTGGATGATGTGTAAAAATGAAAGTGCACAAATACTCTGGGATGGAGGGAGTATATGCTAACATATTTTTACTGCATTTTACATTATTATAAAATAATAATTTAATGTCTTTAAGAAATCTGTTTTGAGAAAAAAATTACTAATATTTTTGAATTCGAATACGAATTCAAATACGTCAAATATCTATCGAATCGAATACGAATGTTTTTTAAAATTCGAATTATAAACGAATCCGAATTCGAATACATATCACTTTAATCGAATACGAATCGAATAGTGATATATTTGCTTCGATTCGATTCGTATACACCCCTAGTGATGGCAAACACTTACTTGAATAATGACTAATAGATAATGACTAAAAGTGCTACATTAGAAAAAAAAACTACATATAATGCTATTTAGGAAAAGTTATTATGTTTTAGTATTATTTAAATAAATTACCCTTACTAGTTTTAATGAATATGGATATATATGTATATATATCTTCAGGCGTGGAACATGTTGGTGGAGACATGTTTGAAAGTGTTCCCAAAGGAGATGCTATATTTATGAAGGTACCCCCTTCCAAAACTCTTTTCAAATTTCCACTACAATAATTATAAGCTTTAGTCTTTTTTTTCTTTGTTTCTTTTTGAGATGGTTTAGATTGATTCTTCAAATTTAAAGAGGTAGTTGTACGTAAAAGTGAATGACTAAAATAGGAATAAAACTCGTGAAAGAATCAGAATAAAACTTTCATATTTTTATTTCAAAAGAGTACTTATAGTGTCAATAATGTCATAATTAGATAACTCGCGAAGAAATCCACCAAACTACCCAAGTTCTAATGGATCAAAATAACCATTTATTTCAGCATAATTGCAGAGTAGTTATTATCTACTCTGCGGTCGTAAGAGAAACAGACTGTGATTGTTTAAGTAATTCGCGTAAACGTTGACTTTTTGCCAATTGATTTTGACTAGCGTGACCAAGATGCGAAACATAGATCTTAATACTAATAGCCGGTCTAAGTCCAGCATTAGATAGAACATATAATACTAAAAAATACTATGCAATGCAAAGTCTTATTGTAGGAAAAAAACATGAAAATCTTATTTTGGTACTTTTCTCTATGTTTTAGTCCTATTTAAGGTGATTTCTATTTTGATGCAGTGGATCCTCCATGATTGGAGCGACGAGCACTGCGTGAAGCTACTGAAGAGGTGCTACGACGCACTCCCGGCGGAGGGGGGGAGGGTGATCGCGGTGGAGGGCATTCTTCCGGCGAAACCGGAGGGCAGCCCGTCCGTGATCGGGGTCACCCAGTCCGACCTCATCATGATGGCTCAAAACCCGGGCGGCAAAGAGCGGTCGGAGCAGGAGTTCCGAGCCCTGGCGGCCGCCGCCGGGTTCAGAGCCCTCACCTTGGCCGCCTCCGCGTCCAACTTCTGGGTCCTCGAGTTCTCCAAGTAGTAAATTACATTCATGCCCCCGCCGGACCGGGAAATAAGTTACAGCACCACCACTACTCTGCTATGTAATCTCTTAAACTTGATGGTGTTTTTTTTTAACTTTTTTTTTTGTTCTTAAATAATCATTTGTGGAGTTCTAAATATGAGGGCTGTGGAATAATTATTTCATTTTCCACCTCATCCACTTTATTTGGATATTGGGTGAAATTGAAAAAAAATACATATTAAAAAATTTCATAAAAAACTTCATAAAATAAGATATGACATCATTATATTGTTTTGTCAATGAGCGATTTCCAATTTTTGTACCCTGTCTCAATTTTAAAAATGTTCAAGTGGGCATATTTTTTGGTACTACGGGATGTACTGTACATTATGATAAATTTATAATTAAAAATACTCTTTTTCGTTCATCAAAACGGTTTATATTTTGACTAATGGAAGAAATAAAAATATATATATTTATAGTTTTCTTTTCAATTTTGCTCTTGATGTAATAAATAAAAATAAGATGTGATATTAAAATAACAGTAATATAAGATAAGAAAAAATAATAGTAAAATTGGTTTTTTTTTAAATGTGAGCATTTTAGTGAAAAAGAAAAAATGAAAGAGGAAAAGTTTTGATGAACGGAGAGAGTATTTCAAAAATAAATATTATATTATTTAAAAATAAACACTACATTGTTTCTGAATGAACACTAGTAGTTTGAGAATGAACATTACACCAACTAGGTTTTGAATAAACACCACGTTGTTTCAGAAAAAACATTATAATATCCGTAAATGAATATTATAATGGCAATGAACAAATCTATAAAAAGAAACAATATAATGCTTCAAAATGAACACTACGCCAATTGAATATGAACATTTACTAGGTGACATTTTTAACAAATCCATCAACCTATAAACCTGGGATCAACCAAATATCCATTATGCTCCAGAAATTTGCCAAACAATGCAAAGCCTTTAATCAAAACTTTTATTTTCTTTTGAAAAAAAAAATTAAACAGGAGCAATACTTTAGAGCTAGGGAAATATTTTTAAAGACATTATAATAATGAAACACTGTTTTTGAAGGTATATTATGAGTACCCATTCATTCATAAATTAAAAAAAAAAAACAACCCAAAATATGCTGCTATCTATCTATATAAATGATGGAAGAGGATGATGATGATGATGAAACTGGATGGCACCACAAGAAGAGTTTGATTCATTTGATTATTCAAACTTGAGCAGTGCCCTCTGTGAACTTGGGATCCTCACATCTGTACCGCCCGTCCGGTCCGATCCCGAACCCGCGGGGATCGGCAAACACGTTTTCAAGAAGCTGGGTACGGGCCGGGACCGGGCTCTTGTCCGCAAACTCCACGGCCTCTTCCACCTCCTCCTCTATCCTCTTCTCGATCCCTTTCAGCTCTGCCTCCGTCGCCAGACTGTTTTCCAACAAGTACTTCTTCAACGCCGTGATGGGATCCCGCGTCGCATAGTGGCTCTTCTCACCTGTGCTTCCACATTTAACCATGTTGTTACAATGGATTGGAAGTTGGAAGCAAAACATGGGAGTCATATCTCTTCACATTTTCATACAAATAGGGAAAGGAATGAGGAAAGAAAACCAAAAGTATTTTCAAAAATAGATAAATGCGATATACGGTTTCAGAAAAGCTCTGTTTTTTGAGCCTCTTCCGAACGCCTGTTTGAAGAAGTAAGAGGGTGTTTGAGAGTGATTAACTTAAGGATAAAGTGATTTCCACAAAAGCTGAATGCATAAGCACATCATCCCTGCTTCTCCGAAACATGAGGTGTTATATGTACAAAATAGTGGTGGTGAAAAGCAGAAGCTGACATGCCAAACAGAGTAAAACTACTTCCACTCAAAGCAGAAGCTAAATTATTAAAAGCAGCACACTGCCAAACACCCTCTAAGTTACAATAGAAATAGCCAGAATCAGCTTTTGTGTGCAACACACATAAATTCTTTGCCATTGTGCAGTAGCCAAAAACAAGTCTGAAAAAGCTAAAGAGTATCGCATCCATCCCCCGCTTTTTTCTACTCATTTTTGCATTTTGGTCCGTCCCAAAATCTTTTTCTAATGCCATTTGTGACCACATGTCTATGAGGTTTAAAATGGCTTATACTTTACAAATTCAATATAAACCAAACAACTCCATAAGGGATAGTTTTTTGACATAAAGTATGAGCTTTTACCTTAAGCGTGATACGTTTCGGGAAAGATTTCAGGTCATAAGATAGTGAAACAACGTAAGACACAACACGTGGTAACAGAAATGAGTAAACCACAGATTAAAAGAGAGCAAATTTCATAATGAAGTGATGGGCTGATCTAAAAATGCGAGAGCATAAGAATCCTTACTTGGGTCGCGAAGCTCATCGGGGTCGGCCAAAGAATGTCCCCTGAACCTGTAAGTCTCACACTCAACCAGAGTAGGACCTTCGCCCCTCCTAGCTCTGCCGATGGCCTCCTCAGCCACCTCCCTCACCTTCAGCACATCCATTCCATCTACGTGAACGCCAGGCATGCCGAACGCGGGACCCTTCTTCCAAATCTCCGGGTCAGAAGTAGCCCTCAAGTGGGACATACCAATGGCCCACAGATTGTTCTCGACAACAAAGACGATGGGCAGTTTCCACAGCGCAGCCATGTTCAAGCACTCATAGAACTGGCCATTGTTGCAAGTCCCGTCCCCGAAAAAGGCGAGAGTCACATGATCGCAGCTCTCGTCCTTGTAAACCTCTCTCCTATACTTTGAAGAGAAAGCTGCCCCCGTGGCGACCGGAATGCCCTCTCCTATGAAAGCGAACCCACCAAGGACATTGTGTTCCTTGGAGAACATGTGCATTGACCCACCCTGGCCTCTGCAACAGCCGGTGGTCTTTCCAAAGAGCTCGCTCATCACTTGGCGGGCAGGAACACCCTTGCTCAAAGCATGGACATGATCGCGGTACGTGCTCACCACGCAGTCTTCCTTCTTTAGGAGCTTGATGAAACCAGTGGAAACAGCTTCCTGGCCGTTGTACAAGTGCACAAAACCAAACATCTTGCCCCAGTAGTACATCTGAGCACACATGTCCTCGAAGGCCCTCCCCAGAACCATATCCTCAAACAACACCAAACCTTCTTGATTGGTAATCAGCTGCACAAAGTCAACTAATTACTCTCAAGCATTTACCATTTTGGCAGCTGAAAATGCCCATATTTGTACTTACAGTAGTAGAAAATGTAGAGAAATTAAAGGAGAGCAATGTAACTTGTAATTTGAAAAACACAATAAATGAATCAAAGAATAAATCCATAAACATCCAACTAATCACCATGCTAAAAAAAATTGATCTTTTCTCCAAATAAAAATACCCAAAGAAATTTCAGGGGAAATTTGAAAAATTAAGCTTAAAAAAACAAACAATCCTTGCTTAAATTACTCAAAGAATACATACAGAAAAACCAAGTAGAAAGGAAAAGGAGGGGGTGAGAAAAATACCAAATTGGAGGGGGAAGGGGCGGAATTGAGGTTGGTTTCCTTGGCGACATTGGAGACGGCGCGGAGACGGGTGGATCTGGAGGCGGCGAGCTTGGGAAGCTTGGCGGAGGAAGAGGCGGCGAGAAGAGAGGCGGCGGAGGAAAAAAGGGGATCGGAGAAGAGGGGCCTGTCGGCAGATCTTGCGGAGGAGTTGAGGGGCACGAGAGGATGGGAGAATTTGGCCAGAGAAATGGAAGACGCCATTTTTCCTCTTTTCTTCTTCTTCAAGAGAGAGAGAGAGAGAGAGGGTATGAATGAATGGATGAAGATTGAACGGAGAAAAAGAGGAAAATGGAAATGGTATAATATAGCAATGCGGTGGAAGAAGAAGAAGATGGATCGAAAGGACGACGGAGAACACGAAGAACAACGAAAAAGAAAATCAAGAAAGAAAGAAAAAAATGGGGAAATTAAATGCTAAAAAATGTAAAATCGGTGTGGGTGGGAACTGGGAATAACCGCCTAAGGCGCTGGGAGTTGCCACAACTTCACCCACCTTTGTTAACAAGGAAAATGCTAGGGTGCCACCACATGTGAGTTACCATGGGTGTACTCATGCTTCACACAGACAAATACAGACGATAATCGTCTGTGCAACACAGACAATTATCGTCTGTGTGAAGCATGGGTGCACCCATGGTAGCACCCATGTGATGGCACCCTAGCATGGTCCTGTTAATAAATAGAGGAATGCTAGAGGTATACCATTTGGGGTACCCCATTTATACACCATCAATTTTAACTCTTCATTTCTTTTTTCATTTTTAAATTTTTTTTCCTCTCTTGCTTTTGTGTGGTGGAGATGGAGGGGGTACAAATGGGGTATCTCAAATGGTGTACCCCTAGCGTTTTTCTAATAAATAATACTCCTCCTGTAGCAGCTATGTTCATGGGGGGAACCTGTATCTCCCATAATATTGGAATACTCCTCCTGTAGCAGCTATGTTCATGGGGGAACCTGTATCTCCCATGAGTAGATTTGGAAGCCTTTCGGTGCTCTGTTTCTAAAATTAAAGATTCTTGCTATCATAAAACTCCCGGTAAATCTCTCCACCCCGCCCGACCCGAACACACTCACCGCTTTCAGTTACACCTCACAAATTAATTTTGACTTTCGAATCAAAATTGACTCCAAAGTCAAAATAAACTTGTAGGGTGCAATTGAAGGGGATGAGTGTGTTTTCTGGTCAGGGCAGGATGGGGGGTTTCAAGGATGTTAGGAGGGTAAGAACCGTCAATTTTACGAATGGGGTACCAGAGCTCCCCCGGGTCATCCCATGACATTGTCGGGCAATGTCATGAGAATCGTCCCCTATAAACAAACAATAATGATTTCTGCATAATAAGAAACTGGCTCTGTTTGGTAACAGCGTTTTCAATTAGCGTTAGCGTTTTAGATAAAATTTTAATGGTGCAGATTAATTCTGAAAACACTAACGCTAAAAGCTACCGTCGGATAGCTTTTTCAAAACGCTAACGCTAATCTCTAACGCTGATGCGAAACGGGACCACTGTGTTAAAATAGCATTAAACTCTAAAATTTTTGATTTTTTTTTTGGAACAAAAACAAATAAAAATGTCAGGAAAACACAATGAGTTTGATACTATTTTGACACAAAATTTTTCACTGACATACAAAGACAATAACGGTATGTGTTATGTGCACATAGACCGTTCTAATTTGTGTGTGATCGTAGGAAACTTAATGCCAAAATGATACGGAGTATCAAATTTTTTGTTTCTCCCTAGCACAACTCAAAAACAAATATAGTGCTGCGTACTACTCTAGTTTGGAATTCTTATATATCAACGTGAATACTAATTTCTGAGTAACAAATACAGAGTACTTATTTTGCACATTTATTATTTTAGTACTTATTCAAAATGGAAGGATTTTCATGACATTGGAACCTCATGTCATGAGATGACCTGAGCCGTTACGGTACTTCGTTCGTAATATTGACGATTCCTACCCCCGACCCTCCTCCCCCCATTTAAAATATGCTCTACATACATTGTAAATTTTAGGTATGTTAAATTGAAAATTACATAATGATCATTACATTTATATAGAGTATACATTTACGAGTATGAGAAAAAATACAACCAATTATACAATATATATTACCTCTAATTTTATCTTTTTTAGTTAAATTCAATAATTTTAATTATCAATTACACAAAAATTGTAATCCTATTACATGTTTTTTGAAAGATAGGTCTAATAAAATCACAAAACATAATAAATTTACATTTTTGAATTTTTATAAAAAATTTTAACCTTTTTGTTTGTGACTAGCATTTCCCTAAGATGGAAAAAGGGTTCAAGATGTCTAATAGGGGTTGTCACCTACAAATGAAATTTTTCTTGATACAATAACATAAAAACTGCATTGAGTATTAATATCGATCCGGTTCATGTGACATGGAACATTAATGTTATATGTTGACCCACGACTCCTGCAGTCGTCGTTTAAAAATTGATTATTCTTACGCTACCAAGCCCCTTGCAACCCCCTCCTCCCCTTCCAATCGATGAAAGGAGAGGAAAGCGTTGGGAACATTCAGAGGATTAAGAGAGGAGTTAAGGGAATAAGAACTATCAATTTTTCAAAAGAAAAATCGTAGGAGCCTTGAATCATTCTTTGACATTGTGTTCAATGTCACATGAACCGCCTCGTATTAATATATTGAAATACTGTAAGGGTCCTCTTGGTAGACGAAATCAACAGTATTAGAATTGAATTGACAGTTGAATTTCTATGGAATTAATTTGGATGGAATTGAATTCTCCAATTCCAGTTCTTTTTTGGCATTACCAATTCCAAATCCACATATTTTTGTGCTATCAAACAGCAGAATTAGAATTGGTATCCTTCATTCTAATTTCATAGTTTGAATTTCGTGTACCAACCGGAGCCTAATTAATTTCATTGCCAAGAGCAGCCTCAATGTCTAGATCTACTTCTCCACAACAAAATCATGCTTTATCAAAATAGCTCTTTCTACATGCATAAAGGCAAATAATGGTTGTACATTTGGTCTGTCCGGCTGATAAAAACAAAAACCATAAAATATATCTTTTGAGCTATTTACATATAGAAATAAATAGAGAAAGAAAACCCCTACAAATAAATAAAGAGAAAGAAACCCCTCTTCCACAATAAAATTCACAAATAATCATCTATATTTAGAAACATTCCACATTGAGTTGACTATTATTGAAGTTCCATTGGAGGTTTGTGTTAATTGTGAGCATTGCCAATTATTGTCCATTCCCATCAAAATCATACACTATAACAAAGGACTAGAATTAGTAATGTTCCAAATTTTTAAAGACCTTAATTCATACGGAGTATTTAATGTCTATAATTTAAATCCCAGACCCTACTGTAGTGGGATCCAACTGGGTTGTTGTTGTTGTTGTTGTCTATAATTTAAATGGACCTGATTGAATTTCATATAGTAGATGAAATGTGGAATATCTTTAATGATATATGGCTATTTGTGGAATTTACTCTTTGTTTTTATCCCAGAAGGAAATATTGTCCTTGCATTCTGTATATTTCCATCTTCATCAGCTACCTGTCTCCAGGACTAAAAGACCCTTTTGCATTTTGCAAAATCTGGTAGATCATCGCTTTAAACTCTTCCCTTTGCCTGGAAATAAATTTATATTTGCTTTAGACATAAAGTAGTCAAACACACACAACTGAACAAGAACAGAGATTCAGAAAAAATGTTGAAAAGTAAAAAATTGTGGTTGCAATTGATATGAAAGAGAAATAATGATGGTCACACATATTCCTTGCCCCAAAAAAGAAGGAAATGGACTTCTATTTTGGGACAAGCCGAAAAGGAAAATGTTGTATGTTTTGGGATAGGCGTATATATTGGAACCATAACGTACAGCTTACAGCTTACCGAATATATTTGATTTCAAGGGGAACCTTATCGCAGATCCCTTCAATTTTTTGTCCGTGAACTTGTTTGGTTTCTCCACATTCGATGAGCTTTCCCCGGTGTGGAAGTCTATCCTTTTGTTTACCTTTTCGTGGTAAAGAGCAGGCGGTGCTAGTCTCAGATTAGGCATTTCTTCTATATGTGACGGCCTCTGGTCTTTCTGAAGCTTACTCAAGACCTCAAACTGTTACAATCGGTTTTGTGATCTCGTGAGTTGGAGTGCAGAACAAATGGCACTATGTTTGGTTCAACGACTTTGAAAGGGAAAAGAAAAGAAAATGAGATGGAATTTTTTTTCTTGTTTGGTCAGAGAGGAAAAGAAAATGAGAAGGCAAAACGTACTAAAAGGAGAAAAAATAAATCCGTCCCATTTTGGTCTGGAAAATGATAAAAACCCACTTTCTTTTCTTTTCCTGTCTAAATTCCTTGAACCAAACATAGCGTAACAGAAGAAAATAGAATTTGAGAGTACCCTTGAAACTGGATGGGGACCAGAGGAGATGTCAAGAAAATCATTTTCATATGGGTGCAATGCATTTATCCCATGTCCTTGCTGAGATCTTGAAGTCTTGCTCACCAATCCATTCTCTGAGAACATCGATTTACTTCTTGACCTGTGAGAACTCTTTCTAGGCACACAAACTGGGCATCCAACAGATGAAACTTTAGAGGGTTCGCCGTTATCTGGAAGTTCACAATGCAGGTGCATTGCGTGACCACAGCGGAAAATTTGAACACTAGAAGAAGTTCTGGATAGAAGAAAATTGCACGCACAGCACTCAAGGCTCCGAGGGACATAGCCATGAACAGCCCCCCTCTTCAGTAAGCTCATGGTATAATACGTATCATCCTCGATCAAGGATTTCGCAGTGTCCTGAAATGGAAAACAGTATTTGGAATGTTATAACGAATGGAACGAACTGAATTATTTCTCTTTTTCAAATGGAAGTGGACTAAGATATCAATTAATGCAACGGCAGGTTTATAGTTAACACTGGCATATTGCAGTGTAGTATAAGTCTGTAGCTCGTGCATGTGTGCTTCGGTGTTTACTTTGTATGTTCTTCTATGTTTAGCCCAAAACCTCTTAGAAACTTTCTCTCTACTTCTAAGTAGGGGTAAAGTCTGCATAGGCACAACCTCCCCAGACCCTACTATTTTGGGATCTTACTGAATTTGTTGTTGTATTGCATTGTAGTATAATTGAATAAATTAATGGGAAAATGACAACAGACAGGAAAACAAACCAAAATTCTTTTTTCAAAATCGAAGGTTCCGAGGATCCCCATTATGGTGGTTTTAAAATCTCCGAATTCCTGGCTACCATTTTCAGAAAGCAGTTTTAGCATGATAGTTGGTAGGCGGACATATCCGATCATTCCCTCAGCAATCTCTTTAATAAAGAAGGAGAGCAATTTCCTCAGAACTTCTGCATTCTTATGAGACTGAGAGACTTTCCACTTGATCCTGCAAGCCCCTTGGTCCTTTATATTTCCACTATATGGTTCCATTAAAGGTTCACAGAACCTGTTACAGGGAGAAAATATAAGTAACCCTGAAAAAGAATTTTTTCGTAACCAAAGAAATGGAAAAATAAGCTGGTGTGATCATCAATAAACAATGTTAACAACGAAAGGCATAATTTGATTTCCAACTTGGGAGGAGTCATAAGACAGTAAAAAGAATTCATATAAAGGTTAGTAAATGTTGCATTGACTAGGCACGAGTCCAACCAGTGTGCTAGTCAGTTGAAAAGATGTGTTCAAAAGTATATTAGTATTATCTTATGTGAAGAATAAAAAATAAACCGTACATTTCCAAAGCAAGGCCACTGAACTTAAGGTTACATGCATGTTGAAACTAAGAAAATTGATGCACTTCGCAAGCACACCAATATTTGGGTCCACCTTTTTAAACCTTCTTCCTTACTCTGTCCCAAACCACCTTTCATTTTATAACGTAGCATACAAGTGAAAAAAGACCACAAAAAGACAAATATGTCCTAATTTAAGATATGGTGAAGGTTAAGGTACCTTTTTTCTTGAATTCCTAAAGTGAACTTTTTAAAGGCATTTTAACCAACATTTGTTTTGCAAACGAGAAAGTAGTTGGCATGCATGTGCTACACATGAATATGCATTCCCACCTCAAAGAACGTGAATGCACCATATCCAGGATATAATATCCTTCTTTATTTTTTAGAGATCCGAAGAGATCCCTGGGATAGATGAAGAAACCTTCTCTTGTCCGTGGCTAGAAGAAGAATGACTTCAGATCCTATCGCCCGTGGCTAACTTTGAAGAATTGTTTAATTACTTCAATGGTGATAATTTATTAATAATTGTGAGAGTTTAAATAAGCAGAGCCTCACAAAAGACAACATGAATCCTTATTTATTCTTTTAACTAGAATAGAATAAGACTACTGATAAGAAACTATTTATATTCCTATCAATAATAGGATGCTGATAATAGTAGGAAACTAATTGTTATTATTATTAGAACTAATTTAAGATTATACCCTAGATCCGTAACAGCATGACAAACGGATTATAACTTTATTAAAAGTGAGAACTTACGAAACAAGCAACTCAAACCACAGGCCTTCAGATTCAACAGGATCAAGTCTGGGGCTATTTCGTTGGCACATCAAGATACAGTTGCGCACCATTTCAAGTATGTCATTGACCTGTGAGTTTAATACCAATCAAGTCCAGAGAACAATCATGAGAAATGTCTTTATCACTGAGGCCTCTTATGAAGAAAAGGGTGCCTTGGAGAAAGCATACCTCTTTTGTCTCTAACATTTGATTAAAATGCTTCAACTGGGCATCACAAAGCTCCTCTTCAATAGAAGCATCAAGTGTGATGAACTTTTCATCAAGGCTGTCAAGTAAGAGGGAAAGTGCACTTCCTATGTCACCAACCCTTTCAAACAAGAAAGCAGCTGCATCTCTAATTCCATGTTCCAGGCACAAGCGTAAACAATGTTCCACCCTATAGCTTTCAAGACTCTCCAAGAATTTGCAAACTGAATTGCGTTCATACTCACACAAAAGCTGCAGAATTTTTGCACCAATACAAAATTAGATTTTGAGTAGAAGCTCGTTGGGGGCAGGAGGAAACAATTAAGCTATTTATAGAGAGTTTTAACATCAACAGTGCCCAGGCAATAGCGTAGGTTCTTCATTACAAAGAGTTGTACTTGATATTTTTGCTAGCAATAATTAATATTGTAAAACATTATGAGTGCAAATAGTAGATCATTGCAGATGATGACAAAATGCAATGCTAAACACAGCATGGGCTGTGGTGGTTTTCAAGACTCATGGCAAGTGCAGCAGGATATTGCAAGTGAAAGTGAGAACCTGATGTATACATTAGATCTCCTAAAATATATTTTTTTATTTAACAATCTAAACAAGTGCACCCATTGACAATGGAGCTAAAAGAATCATTTTGAAAATGTGCTAGCTGCTGGTAAAAAAAATGGACTAAATCATACTGATACATTAAATGTCCCTTGCTTCTTACTTTCTATGAAGTTTTGGTTAGTAAATGCAGCAATGCATCAAGGCTCAAACATTAAAAAAAAAAAAAACCCCCTCTTTGTTCTTTTGCAGGGGTAAGGTTGCTACATCTTCACCCTTAAACCCCAACAACGTTGGGATTATAGTTTTGTTGTTGTTGCTATTATTGTATATAGCAATCGAAACGAGGTTTTTCATTTAGATGAGATTAGTTGGTTTATATTTACAAAAATGTAGCACTTTCATGAAATACTCCCCCTGATCCATATTAGTGTTTATAAACTTTATTCACATAGTTGAATCACATCATCTTTTTTCCTTGCATATTTTCAGGAATCATTTGACAAAATAAAATAGTCAAGCCACAGTTTTGATGTAGTTTTTAAATATATAGTTTTTTTTCTGTCACAAACCAAATCAGGAATGCTATATAGGAACAGAGGGAGTATTTTCCATTAAGGCCACATTTGGATTGATTTGTTGATCAAAATCGATTTGTTGTGAATTGGATTACTAGTAAATAGTAATGGTGTTCGGAATGGCGGGAATGCGCCCAATTCTTGTGAATTGGCCAAAAGCAGTGGCGCATTGTAGGCATTTGATGAACCTGATTTAAAGATTTGAGAAACCAGGTAATTCCATAGTTCCCAATGTTTCCTAATCCGAATATAGGCATCACAAAATATTCAGGAAATCAAAGAACAGATAATGATTTGAACTGCAGTATGCTAATATTACATATGTCAACTTAGTGTCATGATTTAAACAGTCAGAGAGGGGTGAAAAGCAGCATGAATAATCGAGAAATCACCTCAAGATATAACTCTGTCATTTCATCAGTCATAAGAAATGGATAGTCTTGCATTACTTTTGGACATGTAGACAGTGCTTCCAGATAGGTTTGAATCTTTTCTGACTGATGTGTTCCCTTGTTCTGACAAGGAAATTCTAGAACATTATCGTTTCTTATTGAAGAAAAATTGAGGGTTTTGCTAGATTGAATCTCAAAGAGTGTCTTTAAGTAAAGGAAGAGACTTTCTGGATGAGAACGTAACATGGACAAAATGTATTCAAACTTCTCTTCAAAATGGCTAACAACCAAGAAGAAAGTTGCCTCCCTGCAGATCATGAATAATTTTCATAATTTAAAAAAATGACATTGACAAGTAGTCAAGTTTGCACACAATGCACAAACCAATGGCTGTATGGATGTCCATGAATTTTAAAGGTATTACCTGCTTAGTTTGACAAGATCAGGAATTCGAGATAATACTGCAGAGCGGAAAGCATCAGAATCTCTGTTTCCCACTTGATGCAGCATGTCATGAATAAATGAAAAGGCATGAATTGGTTCATCCATATCTTTTATATAGCTGTCCAAAGCGGCAAGATACTGATGTCTGATAGAATGAATTAAGCCGCAAACCTAAATAAATAAGTATCTGCTATATAAAGTATTATATTGAAAATATAAAGAGAGTAGAAAAAGGAAACAAAAGGAAAATGTGAAGTACTTCACTAAGCGGAGTGTCCCACCTGTTGAAACTGAACCCTCTCACATAAATGTAACAAGTTAGGAGTATCCCATTCATCCTCTGGCAATATTTCAAGAAGTGAAACCAATTGTTTTTGTCTTCTCTTCAAGACTGCCTTACTCTCAGAGACACTAATTGAGGAATCGGTTCGAGAAGTCAAGTATTCAGCAATCTGACTTAGAGTACCTCTTGAGATTTTAGCCTTCTCACAAGAAACAAAGTAAGCAATGAAGTCCAAGATATGGGTTCTCTCTCGTTCTGAAGGCCATCTATCAATGGATATACCATCATCCTTGCTACAAGGGTTGCTACTTTGGAACAAATTTGCATCAAGAATCTCAGCTAAGACACCTATTAGTTCTTGGACTAGATTTTGACCTTCAGACAAACCCTTTACTTCAGCAGAATTGGTGTATAAATTGGTTGAATCACCGGAAACATGGTTAAATTGTGGATCATCTTCAACAAATGCAAATCGCAGTGTATCTAATGTAGCTTGAGTATCTAATTGTAATAGATAGAGCAAGTTTGGGTGTAGCTCATTGACTGTAAAGCTTGTAATCGCCAATGAACTGGATGTGCAAGAGCCTTCCAATAGAAAATGCACAAGCTCTTTCCTAAGCAATGGAAGGATTTCTGTGGATAGAGTTCCATGCCCTATAAAGATAGATGGTTTAGCCACAAGTTTGATTTTAGTATAAACTTTACAACTCTGAAAAAAATGTAACATTCATCAACTTGTCTTCACAAACATAACGTTCGTGATAATAGCTTATGGCCCAACCCTTCTATCTCAAAATACACTTCCAACTTTTGTTTTTCATCCATGATCCATCCAAAAATAAACTTCACACTTCACCTTTTTCCCATTATGGAATGTAATATGTGGCTCAAGATTTCTATCATAGCTATCACGGCGTCGCCTAGGCGCTGCCTAGGCGTCCTGGCGATCAACTCCTCTCACCATGGTGCATTGCCTCACCTTATTTTGCATCCCTCACCTCGCCTCAGCCTCGCATTTTGAAAATCATTTATGCCATTTAGTCATATTTCGTATTTCATATTCTTTGCACTAAGAAGTTGCATACTCCTCGGTGACTTTCGTATTTCGTATTTCGTATTTCATATTTCAGTAACTTTTTTGATACTCAGTATTTACTTTGCACTAAGAAGTTGCATATTGTGTTTTAATTGTATTTCGTATTTCATATTCTTTTTTTCATATTATGGTGTGTTCACATTTTTTATGTACGTGTATTTAAAATCTTGATAAGGTCTAGAGATCACGTATGTTTATATTTATACTAGTGTTACTAATGTAGACCAACCCTAATTCCCTATGTGTTACTGTCTAGGTCACCTAATTGTCACCGAGGTGGTCGCCTAGTCGTCTAGGCGTCATGGCGGTGCTGATAACTATGATTTCTACAGAGTATATCACCTCTTAGCTAATTCCAACCATACATTTCTTACTTTTCAACACTTTTCTTAAACTCCGTGAAGTCAAATAATAAAATAATATTTGGGCGAGAGCGAGTAGATGCAGATGGTCACACACAAACATGAGAAATGAATTTTTTACTCTACTATTATCAACAAAACCACTAACATTGACCATTTTTGGAAATAAACAGAAAAGCAAGAATGACTTCACAAGTTTGCTGTAGCAACAGGCAATCTGATCAGAAACTGCTGTAAAAGCAATTTAGTAAGGCAGCACATATAGGCAGAGGCCTCTTGGTTAATGCTTGACAAATATATACAATGAACATACTAGAATGCATTTTCTACACTCATAGAAAGTCAATCACAGAGTGTCAAGTAGTAATGATGATATGCATCAATAGTCAGATTGGATGAGATGATGAGATGACCTAGATATATCCATGGGCACCAAGGAACAATGAAAGTCGCCTTAGATGTCTAGGGACTACCAATAATACACTGAACCTAGAAATGCAGGTACATGGTACAGCCACAGGCAAAAAAACATTAGAATATGGAGCCTAGTACATACATCAACAGAAAACAGATTTAACAAGAGCCAAAAGAAATCAATTGCAAAATCTGACAATATGAACCATTAATTTATCAAGACATAAGCTGAGGTAAACAGAATTTCAAAGCATCTTGGTGCCTTACCAGGGGGAAAAGCAAGACCCTGGAAACAATATTTCAGATAAACAAGCACCTTGTACCTGTAACATTAAAGTAACAGGCAACTATTCTTAAAATAAAAATCATCATAAGATCATATCTGAAGCATAAGAAACATAGCTACAAAAAAAACAAAAGACAAACATACTAATAAACTATGAATTCAGAAAAGGGAATTGGGCTTGAGCATGCAAAAAAACATGAAATCTTTTGATATCGTACAAAAATCCATGAAAGCACTACCCAAGTCGCGCAGCCGTGTCTCCTTTGCTAATTCTTATAACTGAAAATAGCTCCTCCAGGGGTGCCTTGAAATCACCAAGACCTTTGTTGAACAAGTATATCACTGCTCCATACAACATGTGTTCCCTGCATATGCGAATAACCTATAGACCAAACTTAGAAATTAAGAACTTGAACATACCATCAAAGAAAGTTAAAGACCAAGGGCTTTCATACCCATATACTCACACCTGGCAATTGGGCCTATTCTAGTTCGGGCTTCTTAGGTTTGAGTCTATTTTGGGCATATCTAATATTCAGTTTGGTTCATTCCATCACCTCTGATGGAACCAAAAAATCACTATTTTTTGGCTTTGGGGTGTGATGGAATAAAGCAAAATAGATCTTTAAATTGTTTGCGCTTCTTTATTTAATGAAGTAGCAGTTAGTCAATCAATGTAACTTTCGACGCTGATCAGGGGTTCTCTTTGGAAACAACCTCTCTACTTTCAAGTAGGGGTAAGGTCTGCGTACACACACCATCCCCAGACCCTACACTTGTGGGATTCAACTGGGTTGTTGTTATATTCAGTTCGGTTCTGTACAATTACGTGTTTAGTTCAGGTGTCCACATTTTGAGTTCAGTCCAGATAAAGTTAATATTATCAGTTCAGTACATGACGGTTAGAGTAAATATCACATTGGAAAGATGCGGCTTTAGATTGGTTTGATTTGGTTCGAGTCATATTGGGTTGGATTAGTATTAAAATTGAATCGACTAACCTCCCATATGTAAAGATCTTTTTGCTTGCCTTCTTAATAGACTAATATTGTGTGATTGAAATGTAAGACAAGAAGTAATAATATATACATATACTGTATTAATTACATAATAATTGCTTATAAGTATAAGAGCATTATTTAAGATCAAGATGAAAAAAGACAGTGACACGACAAAATACTTGAAGTAGAGATGAAGGGAGTAACATTTTTTTCAAAAAAAAAGATACAGAAAGAATTCTCATTTTTTAAACTTTTGCCAAAAAAGGCATATTGTAACTTCATAACTCAGGTACGATCGGGTTCGAGTCTAATTTGGTTCGGGTTTGATCGGTTTTAATTCTAATTCGATTTCGATTATGATCCAATTTTGAATCAATTTGGTTTGATTACGGTTCTGTTCAAGTTATCTCGAGTGCCGGTTATAGATCTGGTATTCAGTTTTCAGGTTATTTCAGGTTCAACTTCAATTTGTTCTGTTTGGGTAATTGGTGTTGAGTGACTTGAGTTTGTTTTGCCATGTCTACATATAGTACTCCATTTGTCCCAAACTAAACTTTCCATTTGGTTTTTCAATGAGTTTAAGAAATAATAATTTGTGTGATTGAGATGCATGCATAGGAGAGTGAAATAATGTGAACCATTCAACGCTTTCCTTAAAAAGAAGAAGAAAACTATTTTGCGACAAGCAGAAATGGGAAGTTTGAAGTTTATTTCAGGATGGATGGAATACCATTTTCTTACATGAAATTATAAACAATACGTTTGTTGATTTAGTACAAGTCAAGAAGACAAGACCAGCCAAAAGCTGCAAAATAGTACTCCCTGTGTCCCAAATTAAATTGCATGCTTACTATTCACACGGTCAAACTTCATTCACTTTCTTTCTCATATTCGGTAGTCATTTGATAAATAATATAGTCATGTCACCACTAGTTTTATAGATCTTTTGATGAAGTATCTTAACATGTAATTTTTATTTTTTAATTCTACACCATTTTTCATATAAATGGATTTGAAAATAATTTCGGTCAAACATCATAAACCGAAACAGGGAATATAAATTGGGACAGAGGGAGTACTACATCGGTACCTGATTGAAATCTAAGGATGAAATATCCATGTGAAGAACACATTGTTCAACTCGCTGCAACCAACCATTGTTGCTATAGTGTTCCACTAGCGCTTGCATAATCTACAAAGCAAAACAAATAATGGAGGATATGAATATAACATGTTTTACACATTGGTCATAGTATATATTACTATCTTACAGGAATGCCAGTTTGTAGGGATTTCTCTTTATAGACATAACTCAGAACATAGAAACACAAGATACTTGGATTCATGTTTTTTACTCTTAAGGCCTTTAAGTGAACGCTTAATAGGCTTTTGGAGACAAAGTTTCATGATAGTCTTCTGAAGTCCACAAGTACCATGTGGTAAACCCATGAAAACAAAATGCACAAGGATTATTGTTGCTGTTGTTCTTTGTATTGTTATTTTTAATGCTATCTTTAATGTTGTTATTACTGTTGTTCTTGTTGTTATTCTTACTGTTGTTATTGTGATGATTATTTTGTTTATTGTTGTTGCTGTTATTATTACTACTATAAGTATCATTCTTGTGGTCTTCTTTGGGTATGTGTGTGTGTGGGGGGGGAAGGAGGGAGGGTGCAGGGGGTAAAGAGTTACCTCTGGTGGTAGAGAACCGAGCATATCTTTCAATACGTATGGCTCTAAAAGCTCTAAGAATGTATCTGCATCAGATGGAGGAAATGAACAACTGAAAAAATGAAAAACCTTTCAGAATACAAAATTTATTGCTTTTGAAAGTTAGCATTATGTTGACTAGTGCCTACATTAAATCACAGGTGATTACCATACCCATGATCCGCCCTTTTAACAGGATGAAAAACATTGAAAGAGAGAGAGAGAGATGCACATACATCAACCACAAATGGCAGAAACACTACAAGCACGTGAAAGTTTCTTAGCAGATAATCACTAGACTCAACACGTGGGATTCCCAATTATAAGTAGAAGCAGAGAAATTGAACGAGATGGAATTACCTTGTTGTTTTTCATTTTCAAATCTTTTCCATATTTCATCAAAGAGGACGTCAGTTCTCTTGATATGGAGACAGAATTCAATAGCAACGCCACCAACACGTGCATACTGCTCCTTAATTTCAGGAGGCATTTGTTGGTCCCTATCATTTGACTTATCTGATTGCCACAACTTCCCACTTTGGCTGTTGGAAGCTACTGATATGTATGAGAATACCTCTTCCACATATGACAATAATAACTCAACAAGATATGGCATAACAGTCTTCTGAATGTCAACTAAACTTCTAGGGAGGTCAATTACACCATAAGCTTGGCCATCATAGAGTGCCATTCCCATGCTCATTGCACCTATCCAGTCACCTGCTCTTCGCATAAATTCTATCCTCTCCTTCCAAGGGAGGAGGCGAGAGACAACAAGCTGTGATGTTCCTAGAATGTATACACTGGCCCCCCTAACAGCTATACAATTGTGATGAGCTTCATCTCCTTGAAGCCCATCAGTGGAGAAACTTGTCTGGTGGATCATATTTCCATCTTTTTCAAACAAACATAGCTTTCCCATTGATGTAAGAATTATCAACATCTGCACTGTAATGGCATTAGCATAAGATGTATACACAAACACACACACAGATATATATATATATATATATATATATATATATATATATATATATATATATATAACAGGCAGAGTTTGACAACTTAGATTCAAGAAGACAACTTACATTGTGGCATGGACAATCTGAATTTATAGGCCTATGGCCCAAGAAGTCCCCACCCACCCCACCCCACCCAAATGTGCGTGCACACACACAAACAACTGAAAGCATAAAGTTGAAATCATCTGAAATTCATCTGTTGTGTGAATTTTATACTACCTAAATGTTAGATGTCCAAATTATTTTGCATTGTAATTACAAAAGAAATGAAAATAACAGAGTGAACTGAAAACTTGAACTCAAAATGCTTGAATTATACAAAACTCAAATTTATATATAGCATTAGAACTGCAGGTAACATTCAGAACAAGGTTTGCCAGTTGCCGCAATCTGAACTAAAATATAACAGATATTTAAGAACAAACTTTGCATCTATCTCATTTTCAGGTCTGCTTGACTTTAAATCTAACACTTTAAAATTTCACTAAAAGATACAGTGATACACCACTCTGCAAATGTTTCTTCAATAGAAAGTAAAAAAGATATTTGCAAGGGCAGACCTGATCATCCAGCCATGCGACTCCAACTGCTGAACTATCCAGGTCCCATTCCCAACAAACTTTTAGGTCTGATTTTATTAACTTGGCAACTTGGATTTTCCGATCCCATGCAATTGCAAGCAGTGAAACTCTATGTGATGATTCAGCAGACACAAATGCTGTAACAGTTTTAAAATTTATTTTCAAAAGGGGGTTCTCTTTTAGATATCTCCAAACTTTTTGAATATAGGTGGCCATCAAAATAACAGAAATAAGTTTATACTGTTTGAAGAATTATACTTTCCTGGCATACATTTCCAAGCAGCATAGGGTATGGAACCCTCACTAACACCATTTGGTCTGGGAAGTTGAGCATAAACCTTTATATCAGGAATCACTTTAGCCTACAGATGACACAATATAAAATGAAGAGTGATCAGAGAAAAACTTTACTCAGCATAGGGTATGGAACCCTCACTAACACCATTTGGATGAAAAATGTGATTCAATGGTCGTATGTTCTGAAGGAGTTCATACCACTAGAGCAGACTGGTGACTGACGAATACGACCACACCTTCATCACCCTGAGAAGGTCCATCAAAAAGTTTCCACCCAGTATATCCACCAACCATGCCTCCCATCATACTACCGACACCACCACTAGGAACTGTAGTATTATCTAGAGAAGGTGTCAGAGCACTTCCCAGAGAATCTCCAAAGAGTAATGGAGAAGCACAAACTACAGTGCTTGTTGTTTCATCTAGCAGCTTCTGTTTCAAAGCAATAAGATAAAGTATCTAAACTCAGGGAGAATGAACATTTGAATTAACGCCATATACAGACAGTTATGAGGGAAAAGCTTTACCGTTGATTTAGAAATTGAAATTCTATTGAGCCATGGCACTGAAAAGCGGATCAATTTAACTATACCCTTACAGTCACCACTGACCACATAAAACTGGCGAGAATCTTGACTTAAAATAAAAAGGTGAACTATTGGGGCCTTATGTTCAGTCATAGTTCTAACATCATATGCCTTCTGCACATCCCACACGGTATATTGTCCATCACCATATCCTGCAAAGAGTAAGTCCCCCTGATGATTAAAGCACAAAGATGTTACAGGAACATGAGCCCTCTCCCCAGGTAAACTCAGCATCGACATCTGAAACATGTATGCAGTCATTAAGGTTATTTTAAGTGGTTAAAGAGTACAAATAAATATTTTGCTTTAATTGATGAAAACTCTGGAAAAGTCTAATAGGTACAAATGTTGGGGCATAGGCACAGCCATCAAACACCTCCATCATGATTTGGAAAGTTGAACAAGACATATTCTAAACTACATATGTTGATGCAACTAATACTGAAGAAAATTAAAATGGAATACATTAATACAGCTTGAAGAATCACACCTTTGAATCCATGTCATCAGCATGAAGAGGTGTATATCTGCTGCGCACAATGACAACCAGCCCTTTTGACATTCCCACTGCTATGTAGTTGAGGTGAACTGCCAGAACCTGTGGGGAGCCATGATCTTGCCTGAACTTCTCTGAAGAAAAGATGCGAGTAAGAGCATTTTCTGCATTAACGTCAAAGTATCCCAAGGGAGTAGATTCCCTGCGAATGCCCTCAAGCATCATAGGTTGTGCAGCAGCACCTTCCTCCCAGTACATTCCTGCAAATGTCTGCTTCTTTTCAAGTTCTTCTGCTTGCTCAATAGGGCTTAATGAAGGCACTACTTTCTTCTCTGTAACCATTACACTACTCTCTCCCTCCTCTTGCATTTGTTTCTCTTGCAATGTATCAGCAAAACCATTATCAGAACTATCATCTCCGCCTTCAGAAAGAACATCATGATCCCCAAGCTCGGACCCCATTTTGTCTTGATGCCTCTCATGAACAGCTGGGGTCACTTCATCATCAAGGTTCCCCTCTACATTAGAGGCGGTTTCGGCATGCACATTCATAACTTCATTCGCCAGTAACTTTGGTTCTACAGAATCCCCAGCAATATCAAAGAACATTTCAGTTCTGATGGGGGAACGAATGCTGGTTTCAACCGGGGAAGTGGAGGAACCTTGGCTGGAATTATCAGCCCTGGAAACTAATAAACCACCATCATTATCATCATCACCTTTAGCAAAAACTCCACTTCCTCCCCTCGAACTTTCCTGAGCTTGGATGGAATCATCAACCAAATCCCCACTAGAATCAGAAAGGTTAGTCATTTGCAATTGAGCAGGTGGGCAATTATCCAGTGTAACAGCCTGAGTGACCTCAAATGAAGATACACCTTCAGTGGCCACCAAAGAGACAACATCAGCATCATGCTGGGTCACGGAGCTGGAGACCGCTCTCCTAATTGCGGCGGCTTTGCGGGTGGGGAAGGAGCGCGAAGCCGCAGCAGCAGCCGCCAGAGCAGCCCCAGGCTTGGCATTTGATCTGATGACCCCCGCGAGAAACTGAGGCGAATAAGAGAAATCGTCGGACTTTATTCCACTGATAATTGAACCAGACGGTTTCAATTCTGAAGATGACAGCGACTGCGAATGAGGCAATCTTAGGGTTTCGGAAGATGAAGAGACAGAGCTGCAGTCGGATTGTGCCTGCCGCCGATACACGGTGGAAGGAGAATGCGGAGGCGTATGCGAGGGCGAAGAAGACGATGAAGATGAAGAAGCGTGGTTGAGGAGGATTTCATCGACGGTTCGGCGATGGAAAAAATGGCCTTCGTCTTCTTCGTCGTCAGAGGCGGCGTGAGAGTGTGAATGGAGGATGGATTCGAGATCGAGCTCCGCCATAGGTGACGGCGGAGTAGCTTAGCTGCCGATCACCGGCGAAAGCAATTATCTTGAATCTTTGTTTTGTTTACTCCATTCTTTCCAACAGAGCAGTCCAAATAGGATACTGCTCTCCCCGGAAATCTGTGTCGCGCCGGTACCGGAGAAGATTAGATTTTTTTTTCTGTTTTTGCGTTTGTTCTTCGAGCCTTCAACCCGCTTTTTTGCTATACCCGACCCGATTCCCATATTCAGTGTCTTTATTCATATAAAGAGCTCATGGTATGTCTTTGATAAATATCTAGTTATTCATTTTGAATAAATTAGGTACACATTTTCAAAAAAATTGATGCTAATTTTTCTAAAATTCAATCTTATTCAAAAATGAATATTCAAATATTCAAAAATGAATATTCTGTTGCTCAAAAATAAATATGATCTTACTCAAAAATGAGTATTCAATTATACAACAATGAATATTTATGTGGATGTGGGTAACACTGTACATACAAATATATGGTATAGATCACATATTATTATCCTCTTCATTCTTAATATTTTGTGTGATTCATTGAGCAGCATTACTCTCATGCAAATTTTCTAAACGTACTGAATACCTCTATTCACCCCCTCTTCTCTCACCTCTCAATAAGTGTGCATGATTTATAAGACTATATGATTCATCATCAAAATAAACAAGTTAGCATAATTAATGAGTTTTCTTTATGTTTTTAAGTTGGAAAAATTACTTATAAGGTGTTTTAAAATATGAGTCAACTGATAAAGTATTTTTCTATGCTTATAAGTATATTTTTGCACATGTGCATGGGTTGTGTGCTTAATAGTCTTTTGTGGAGGTCAGGTTGTTAAAAGCCACGCACACATCTATTCGGAGGGTGAATAGAAGTATTTTTCAACTATGTAAAATTGTTATCTAACAAAACAAAATCGTAAGAGTACTCCAATGAATAAAACCCAAAAATAATAATGAAAATGGCAAGAGTCAATGACGTGTCTTGGTTTAACCAAATGCATACGTCTAGTCCCCAAGTAAATGTGATTGTAATTTTAATAATCTCCGCCAAACTTAAAGTAGTTTGAAAATCTAAATGCAACTTAAGAACTTGATTTCACATTCATCTAACAATTCCACCAAAGTTATGATTGCATGAAACTTGGAATTTTCCCCACACTCAAATGAACACAAATTCAAGTTTTTACTGCTCAAAACTTACAATACAAAGAGCAAAGTGAAGAAATCTCTTCGTGAGTGATTGGTGTAGAATACAAAGATCTTATTGAGTATGCTACAATGTAACTCTCCAAATCTCAAACAAAAAGTTTTTATTAGAGTAAATTTTTTTTAAACCACTAGGGGCAAATACCCGCATTCCTTTGGTTATATCTCCGCGAGTGTCACCCAACCATCATTCATTCTTTGTTGCTACGAATTGCATCTACCATTAAAATTTATTATTTTAGAGTGTTCAAATATTGTTATTTCAAATTTTAAAAACTAATTTAATAAAATTAATGCACATTTGAGTCATTGTATTGATTCAATTTAATTTTATTATCTCTGTCTCAAAGTATTTTTCTAGTTTGCCTTTGTATACTAAAATGGATAAACTTCATCATCAATAATTGAATAAAATTCACATTACGTATTAGCAAAAAAATGATTTGATTTAATTTATCTTGTAAATTAATAAAAAATATTATTTTACTCCGTATATGAATAAAAAAGCAAAAAAAAAATTCTCTACTTTGACTCAAAAATTAGATTTGACAAAGAGAAGGGAAGAATTTATTTTTCCAATAGTTACGAGACAAACTGTTGAGGTGTGTTCCACAAAGTTGAAACACTGGATTGGAAAATTCTGTTCATCATCTCCAGGGTGAAATTAAAACTATGCACAGTTAAAAAGGTAAAAACTTTTTTCTCCCCAAACTAAAATGGTCAACGGAACAGGACCCACAGACTTAAGGCAGCTAAACATGGAGAGCAAATGAAATAGCACACCCTTTGTCGACCACAACAACAATGCAGATGTGTTTGTGATGTTTTTTGGGTGATTGTTTTTGGGGTTTGGAGTAAGACTGGGTCGGGTTTTATATCGTTCCGCGTTTTGTTTTGTTTTTTTCAAACGTTCGGAACGGTTTGGGCATGGGTGGTCCAGAAGGTGTATAAATTGGCCAACTGCACATGGTCCTTAAAATTTTATGGCTCATATTTTTAAATTCGGCATTAATTCTAAAACATAAGTATTCTAAAAAATAATAAAATAGGGTCCAAAATATAAATTTTAGACCGAGCCAATTTTATTTATTTCATTTTTCAGGGCCGGCCCTGGGTTCATGCCACAAACTTATCCTTCTTTGTCTTATAATATTCGAGATCGAGATAAAACTTAATTCTTATACTTAAAATATAAAATTAGAGAAAATATAAAATTAGAGAAAATGACTAAACTATGAGTAAAATATAAAGAAAGTATTAAAATAAGATTTTCATGTTTTTTTATCTTCAAACTAACAGTATAATGTCAATAATGATAATATATGATTCCAAAAAATATAGTAGGATGTCACTATTGAGTGTCACAATATCACAATACAAACTATTATTTTGAGGATAAAAGTTATTGTTTTACCCTTACAATGACTGATTTCATACAAAGTTATATTTTTTGAATGACCAATAATAAACACGCAAAGTTGTATTGATTAATTGTTACTTTACTACTGTATAAAATAAAAATAGTTACTTTAAAACATAATTTTAAAAACTGGATCGAACCGTAAAAATAATGTCACCGTAAAACTATGGTTTAAATAGAATTTTGCTTCAATGTATTATGCCCAAAGCCAAAAATTAATTAGTACGAATAAATTTTTGTCTAAAGATATGACAAAAACAGAGTATGTAATCTCAGGGTGGTGATAAATGTAAAGAGAGTGGGGATGACTATTAAAATCTTAATTTAAAAAAAGGAATTGAAGAGCCAAAAATCAGGTCAAACAAAAGGATATGTTGATATGACCCTTGATATTTGTTAACATAATTAACAACATGGAGTGAGGTTAGAAACTCACTAACACTTGACATCACAAATGATAATCGTTTGTAAAGTTATGCATATACACACGATAATGATGTAATATCTCGAGTTTACATACAATTATTATTGTCTCTGTGTGTACAAATTCACAAACAGTTATCCTCTGTGATTTCAACCATAGTGGTTTCTAAGTGTGGGGGGTGTGGGTGTCTATATATACATACATACATACATACACACACATATATATATACATATACATACATACATACATACATACATATATATATATATATATATGATGAAAAAAGGGCACCGTTAACAGCTACACATACAACCCTTAAAACAAAAACTAAAAGCCTCTCTTTCTCAGTGATAATTTATACACTATATTTATTACAGTAGTAGCTAATATATATATACATCTATATTATATCAATGGAAATGGGAATAAAGAAAGGAGGAAGTTCTTGGCTTTCTGCTGTGAAAAGGGCTCTGCGCTCTCCCATTAAAGAAAAGAGAAACCATCATCATCATCAACACGAAGAAGACGAAGATAAGGTTACTCTGATCTCTTTAATTTTCTATGGAGTACTTTTCATTTCAAGTTTAATTTAATTCTTAGTTTTCTTCATCCCTTCCTAGCTAATTAATCTTAGAGAGATACTAAATTCACAAATAAAATGCTTACAAAATCACAATTTTAAAATTAATATTTAAATCATAAATGATAAGTTTGTGAAGTTTGTAATCATTCTATTTGTGAATCTAGCATTGTTTTTTAGTTTAAGGGAAAAAAATCACACCAAAATTGATTTGTTTCTTGAATTTTTTTTATATTTTGAATTCATTTTCTTAATTTAATCAAACATAAAAAATGAATCAAAATGTAGTCTTTTATGTTTTTATTCTAAATTTAATAGAAAAAATATACTCCCTCCGTCTTATATCTTTCTTCCCGTTGCGCAAAACGAAGAAAGATCCAAAGTTTTTTCAATCTGTTTAATTTAAGAGTAAATTCTATAATTGGTCCTTTATAACAGGGGGATTTCCATATTTAGTCTTCTATTATCAAATATTACCCCCGTAGTCCTTTTTTTAAGGGTGCCTTTCCACAAATGGTCTTTTTTTGATCTTCTGCCATGTTGGTGTTAATTTAAAGGTTAAAAGTATAATTTGACATCAACATTATGTCTAGTGACGTGTTCTAATATTGGTTAAGCGGATAACACAAAAATAATGACTATGATTGTGAGCTATGATTCCAACGAAAGACCACATTTGTTGACTATGTTTGTAGTAGAAAGCGACTGTAATTCACAAACGACGCAAATGGAACAGCCTTTGGAATTGTGTATGACAAAAACGATATATTATCATTGTTAAATTACACTTTTAGCCCTCAAATTAACACCAATATGATAGAAGATCAAAAAAAGGACTATTTGTGGAAAGATATCCTTAAAAGAAGGAGCACTGGGGTAATATTTGATAACAGAGAACTAAATAGGGAAACCCCCCTGTTATAAAGGACTAATTATGGAATTTACTCTTTATTTAAATATTGGTATAGAAATAAAAAATAAAACATACATACTCCGTATTTAAAAACTACATCAAAAGTTCAACAAAACAAGTGGTGACAAGAATATTTTATTTTATCATATAGGCCATGAAAAAATACAAATAAATATAAATTTCCGTGAAGTTGGAATAGTGCTCTGAGAAGAAAGTTTTAGGACGGAGGGAGTAATATCAAAACAGAATTAAGAAGGCAGATATTTAATTTAGAGCAGTGGCAGTGGCGAGGCATTTGTCTCCCACGCCCTGCCACCTCATACTTTTTCCTTGCTAAGCATGACATTTCCTCCCGTGTCACTTGCTTTCCATGGCATATGTGAGGCACACTATTACTTTTTTTTCTTTTTTTCTTTTTCTTTTTTCTTGATTTATTTTGACAAATAGAAAGAAACTTTTTTGAAGGCATTATACCTAAAAATTGGTATATTTTGGGATTAAAATAACTTTTGTTTGCGTATATTTTTTTATGGTTCAATTGGTAAAATAAAATATTGTTTTTAACAATTGTTTTAAAAAAATTTGGATAAAATATATAATTTACACTCTTTATTTTCTTGTCAATTTGCAAATAATAACAATTTAAAAGAGATGATCTTTTACAAGTTGTTTGAAAGAGGACTTTTTTGGGGACGATGGAGTAATTTTATACTCCATTCGGCCAATGCAACAATAATAATAATTTTTTCAATTTAACTTTTCACCATTTCAAAAATTTTACAAAATAAGCAGCGATAAAAATAATTTATTTTATTAAATACACCATGAAAAAGGGAAGCACAAAAAATGTTATCAAAAATCTAATATAGTAACCATGACATTTTTGGGAACGGAGAGAGTATAAACAAAGTAGAATTATTTTTATAAAAATATTAAATAAAATAATTATTAATAATTAAATACATAAAAATGTAAAAAAGTGACAAATATAATGACTTGCCACTGCAATGCATGCCACACGATGACTGGACTGTTTTCTATTGGTTGAAATGTTCCATTTCAACGTGTGTCATTCCATTTTTTTCCTTGCCATTGCCCATGCTCTTAAGTAGTATTTAAATGTTAATTTGAGTTCCAAATCTGCAGAAAAGGGAACGGAAGAGATGGCTTTTCCGGAAGTCTACGAATAACAGCAACAACGTCATCCGCCATGAAAGTGGTAGCGCAGTGCAGAGCAAGCAAGCGGCAGGCGCCCGTTGCGGCGGCGGAGCAGCAGAGGAGAGGCATCATCATCATCATGTCATTGCGGTGGCCGTCGCGGAGGCAGCGGTGGCGACCGCTCAGGCAGCCGTCGAAGTTGCCCGTCTGTCCAAGGCTCCTCCTCCTCCTCCGGCGACGGCGGCGGCAGATTCTAATGTACTGTCATCGTCTTCATCAACATATGCAAGGGGAAGGGAACATCTCGCTGCCCTAATCATCCAAACTTACTTCCGAGGATATCTGGTTCGTATATAATCAAATTATTATCTACTCTTCCTTTAATATTCCAATTTCATAATCCTACATTTTCAAATTTCCAATTTCATAAAGTTTAGCTTCTTTTGATTTAATATTGAGTTTTGACTAGTATACACCAATTTCACATACAAATAAATTTATTGAACACAAAAATAGAAATTAGGTTTTCTTATTCTCCCACCAATCACTTTGATAGAAAAACCATCTTGTCGATGACATAGCTTAGATGACACAGAAGTTGTGTAGTGAAAGGGGTAATATCTGGATTCGACTTTTTGCATTGTGAATGAATGGCGACCATTGTGTATCATGAAACTCGTCCACGTGCTAGAGAAAGATTCCATTTTTTATTTATCACGCGAAAATTATTCAGAGTTGTTAACTTTATACGAATTTGTCACACTCCCACAAGCACACGCAAAATGAGTATCTTGCGTGTGATTGTGATGGGGGCAATATTTTGGCATTTTGTTTTTTGTGATGGAGAGAATGTATGATGATGGGATGGGTGATATAATAGGCAAGAAGAGCATTAAGAGCACTAAGAGGACTGGTGAAGCTACAAGCATTGGTGAGAGGTCACAATGTGAGGAAGCAGGCGAAGACGACGCTGAGATGCATGCAAGCTCTGGTGAGGGTGCAGTCTCGCATCCTCCTCCACCGCACCATTAATGGCCGACACCAACAAGTTGCAGCAGCTGGTTGCACAATATCATCAACAACCACTCCCGCTTATTCCCTGCCGCACCACCACCATTCTCGTCGCCACGATGACTTCTACTCTCCTGATAGGATGTCTACGGTACGTAAGTTCAATTCACCTGAACATTCAAGCGGAATATTTTAATTTTAGTTTTTAAAACTAAGAGTGGTTGGCAATAAGGTTTTGAAGTCATGATCGAATTTCAGGCCAGTAAGGCCCTAATATCATATCAAAGAACCGATTCAATCAAAAATATTGTGGTCGTACGGCGATGAATGGCTCTATGCTTTGACATAGGTGGTGATTTATCATTCTTTATGTCATCCCTTTAACAAATATTGTTTGGATGCAAACCATTCTTAACTACACCAGTTGGGAAAGGAGAGAATGACCAAAATTAATAGTATGAGGTATTTCGGGAGGTGTCGAAAGACAAATTCCCAGTTTGGCTCAAAACAGATAATATTATGCTAATGTGTGATATATATGATTGCAGTCCAGATGCGGAGGAGGAAGCGACTACACCGTTGCAGTAGAGGATTGGGATGAAAGGTCACACACAATTGAGGAGGTCAAAGCTATGCTTTATAGCCGAAAGGAAATGGAAGCCGTTGCGTCCCTAAGAAGGCCCTGGAGAGATTTGTCCCATGCCTTCTCCCAACAAGTATGTATATATATGTGCTATCTCCCCAACAATACTTAATTATTTATTCAAAAAAGATATTACCATCACCTTCTTATGTTGTTAATTGTTTATTTTTTGTTCATGGCTTAGATGTGGAGAGGGGGTAACAATAATCCATCAACCATTGACACTGAAGATGAATCTAGAGAGAGGCAACAATGGCAATACTCCCACCACTACCCTTCCCCTCCAACAAAGCTCATATCTCCCCAGTCTTCAAGAGAAGAGAGAAGAGCCAACTGCCTTGACGGGCGTGGGTCCGCGACAATGCCGAGCTACATGGCCACGACCGAGTCTGCAAAGGCCAGGACTCGGTCGCAGAGCGCTCCCCGCCATAGGGCACCATCAAAGGTGCCCGAGAACGCGGGGCCCGCAAAGAAACGCTTGTCGTATCCCGTTCCAGATCCTGACGCTGGAACGGGGTACTGCTTGAGGAGCCCGAGCTTCAAGAGCGTGGCTAGCGGCTATGAGCACCACTCGAACTATTCGTCGCCTCTTTACACGGAGAGTGTTGGTGGTGCGGTTTCTTCTCGTGATCTTCGAAGGTGGTGGAGGTGAGTGACAACACGTTAACAGCGAACAACTACGTGGTTCGAGGAAAATATTAAAGTCACTCCGACTCTCGTCCCACCTTTGATTCTAGAACAATGCTAGGTTCACAAACAAAATGATCACAAAATTCACAAACTTACCATTTATGGTTAAAATTTTGATTTTAAAATTATTTTAGACTCTTTAACTTTTTTATTGAAGTTCACAAATAGTAAGTTTGTGAGTTTTGTGACCATTTTGTTTGTGACCATTTCTCGTTACATGAAAAAAACACTTTATTAACATACTCTGTATATCATACTTTGGATCTATAGTCATGTTAGAAGACTTGGTTTAATTATTTTAAATGTTTTTGTTGTACTTGTTGGAATTAATGTATGATTTCTAGAGGGGCAATGAGGTATACCCCAGACAGTTGCAGACACACACAAACTCTCCATGCTATTAAACTATTTTTAAAATTCTTTCAAAAATCTTTTTAGATATGAATTTCAAAAGCTAACAATAGAAAATGATTGTTTGAAAAAAAATATTCTTCGTACCAAGTAAGGGAAAATGTGGTGGGAATGTAATTTTTCCTTAAATTCATTTTCGGTTCGGGAATAATTTTTTTAAAATAATTTTCTTCTACTAAAACTTTAATATTATGTTTAGTTCAAGGAATTTGAGAGGAAAAACGATTTTCTTTCATTTTCCTCGTTGGTAACAGAAAATTTTTATTTTCATTCATCTAAAATACTAAATACATCTTGCCTTACCATTTTTTTCTTCCCCTTGAAATATGAAGAAAATCTTCAACCTTTAATCAAATAATAGTAAAAATTATACTCCCTTCGTCCCAAAATAAGACTCCTGTTTAGTTTACGATATTTGACTGAAGCTATTTTCAAATCAATATAAACAAAAATTGGTGTAGAATTTAAAAAAAATTGGTGACAAGGTTATATTACTTTATCAAATGATTAATAAAAATGTATAAAGAAAGTGAACTTAGTTTGACATTCGAAAAGTAAATAGGAACTTTATTGGGACGGAGGGAGTATGATATGTGAAACTTGCACTAAATAGGATTAAAACATAAGTCATTTCCTAATCCAGGACTTAAAACTTTTTTATTTCCTAAATAGGACTTAGTAATGACTAGTGTGAGGAATAATGTCCGGTAATGATGAACATTTAGTTGAATAATGACTAATTGATAATGACCAAAAGTCCTACATTGGCAAATAAAAACATATGGTCCTATGTTGAGAAAATCATTATGTTTTAGTCCTATTTAAGCAAATTTTTCTATATTAATTAAATAAAACAATGTTTTGAAGTATCTTAAAAGATGAATCAAATAAAATTATTTTATATCAGTACATAATACGAGTATCATTTTTATACCCCTAACATTTATGGACAAAGTTTATTAAATTTTTCTAAAAAATTTTTAAACTACACAAATAGGCTACCACGAAATATTAGTACTACCTCCGTCCCGCTATATTCGTCCACTTTTGACTTTTGGAACTGTTCATCTAAGCTCTTTGACTCATCAAATTCTCTCAATGTGTAAGCCTAAATATAGTCATGTGTAATCTTGTTTGATTTGTCTTAACATATAGATTATTAATATATAATTTCTATAATTTTTTAATATACAAATTACAAGATAAAATGAATTAAAGAAGTGTATTGGATGACGTGTAAAAATGAAAGTGGACAAATAATCTGAGACGGAGGGAGTATTTGATACTTGCTTCCTCCCCTTTCAAACTTCATCCCCTTTCAAACTTTATCTAATGTGTTTATAATAGAGCAATTTTTAGGCTGTTTTTTCTCTCTCTCCACGATTTTATATCAAAAGAAAGAATTAATACTCATGGTGTTCAAAAAAGAATTATGAGTAACCAAGAGTTTCACCACTTTCACACTTTCACGGGGTAGAATTTTGAGTAAGAGCACTGGAAATACTCGTGAAGCCTCAGGGCTTCAAACTCTCTCTCTGCCACGTCAGCTTTAACTTACACAAAAAATTCACTGGAAATGGGTTTGAAGCCCCGGGGCTTCAAACAGGGGCTTCAAACCTTCATTTTTTACATTTTTAAATATACATCTTCTAAATTTAAATTATTAAATTTTAATTAATTTATTATTTAAATTAATCAAAAGGAGATTAGTACATTAAAAAAATTACATTCATTAAAAAAATATTACATTCATAGAAGAATACATTCATAAAAAAGTTTCATTCATTAAAAAAATATCACATCCATAAAAAAATAACACTACAAAGAAATTACTAATTATTCGAGCAACTAAAAATATCTTCATTGAAATTCAATTTGTAGTAAAATATTACAAACTGAAATAATTCATCAAATAAAAAATACA